AGTGTGTGCGCTACTTTGTATTGAAGGCGCGATAAAGCGAGTACAAGCTCTTTGTGTATGTCATACAGAATGACTCATCTTTTGTAGGCCTTTTTTTCTACAGTAATGGCCTAAAAGATTTCCTTTCTAAAATCTTTTTGACGATGCTCTTACAATCCTGGACAGGTTGTATATTTTCATTGATTGTCATCTTCTTCGCTTGAGATCGAAAAATTAAAAAAAAAAAGAATAGAAGATTGCAGTGTAAAATAATCCATCGTGCCCTTTGCCTACGTATAATACCAGATTACGAAGAAAATTCAAGAAAATTTGGAGCTTAACATCAGTATATTATATAACGTAATCGTAGGAAAAGAAATCTTGGCTTTTTATGTTATTCTGAATACTCACGATATAATAACGGGATTTTCCATAAATATTAATATTTTGACGTGTGTGTTAAGAAATCTTTATTGTTACTAGATTTTATGGAAATTTTTACCAGTAATTAATAGAAGCTCAACTAACAAGAATTCATTTAGTATTGATTAAAATTTGGTTCAAATGGAATGCAATTCTATTGTTTTTGCATCAGGCGAATTCGAATGTTCTTTGCATGTGTTTCACGCAAAAGCATCCGATGCCTATGGAAAATCTCGTCAAGTTATACAATATAATTTTTTTTTAATTTTCAAAGATTTTTCACCACCACGATATGGAAGACTATATAATTTTCAAGTTAGTTCTTCCCTACATCTTGTACAGTTTTGTACAGTTCGATACTCAAGATAATATGAAAAATCAAGATTTTTAGGTTTAATAAGAGTGCTTTCACTTCTGGGATCCTTACGACTGAAGACGTGAAAATTGTTCCATTATTACCATCACGATAAATGACACTTATGCAAAGTTTCACATTATTTGCAACGTTCCAGTTACCCTTGTAACACAAAAAGTATTGTAACGTTATCTAGTTATCTCTTTCTGTTAAATTACAAAATTCTTTTTCGGAAAGAAAAGGATAAATGAGATAAATCGTTATCGTTACTTGGTCGAGCCAACAACCATGATTAACAGAAGGATCGTTACTAGACCACTACATTTTTTTCGACCAGCCGGTTGAAAATTGCTTCGCGTATCGCGTGACCATTCGGCTCGGTTCGTTCATCGATCGGTATGTTCTATACATTGGTGCAGCCGTTTCTAAAGTGACGCATGAGAATTTTCAGATATATAGATACTGCATGTGCAATGTGAATTTTGAGCGTGTAGAGACATTTATTAACTTTGTTACTTGAATATAGTTACCAACTGTAGGCATCGATTTCAAATTCGATTTTTCTTGTTTTACGAATCTGACCGTGCGGTTTGAAATTCGAGTTTGCCACGTGAGAAAAGTGGACACACTCGGTCGGAATAAAAATTGGAATCAAATATTTATTTACTTCTTCTGTTTTATTGCCGTAGCGATTTCTCTCTTCGAGCGAAAAAAAAAAAAAAACGGCCTGTCGATTCTTTTATTTTAATGGCAGCTTCGCAGTGCAGCGACACAATCGTTGATATAAAATCTAGTTGAAACAAATATCATTACTGGTGAATTTTTGGTTTAAATTTATCCTCGTCTATATCGACCGTTTAAATAAAAATAAGATACAAATTCATGAAGTTGAGGTACAGTTAGTAATATATTTGCTTTAGAAGAGCAACAAAAGTCCATGCAGTGATGTTAAATTACCTGATTGTTATTTTTCTTTAACATAAGCAGATTTTACATTGCTCACGAAGTTCGATCATTTATAGGAATTTCTGATGTATATGTTATATGTAGTTATACGAAAACATTTTATTGACATTTTATTAGCACTGTACGGAGACTTGATTATTGTAATTATATTGGTTAAATTTGAAACAAACCTAAAAATATAGCGATTATAAAAGTATTTGAAATGGTATCAGTATTCATTAATATTTCACAATATTTAGTGGGACCATTTTTAATTTATTATAACTTTTAATATTATAGCTTTTCTTAATGAGAATTATTGCTATATGACATTTAGTCTTATTTTTATCTATAGAATACACTAGCAAAGTTTGAATACTAAATTTCTGGATACTAATTTTTAATAAAACATATATATATATATATATATATTCATTAAATAAGTACATATATGTTTGCAATAAATATCTTGTATCTTCTGTATACATTTTCAGATTGGTTTTACATTTTACCAATATAATCATCTTTCATCACAGTCATCTTTAATTACAGTATTAATGAAATTTTAAAATGTTGTCTATACATGTAACACACGTAATATAAAAGTATCTGTACATATAAAAATTCTTCTATGTGTAAGTTTTTCAATATTTTCATGAGCGTATGTTGCGTGTTTTACATTTTTATTTGACGTGCGTTGATTTTCACGTCGTAAAATTCATTTTGTAATGTATTCTTTCAAGACAGGGAGGAAACAATCACAAGAAACAAGTATTCTCGTGTCGTGCGACGTGTAATTTGTTGTGTAAGGACCATTGTTTTCGCAATTTCTATGGAAGAAATGGAAAGCGTGTAGCTTCCTGTAAATCTTCCCTATAATACGCGGAAATGATTTCGTTGGTATGAGTTTCCATCTTACATTGGAGTCATGATTTTCTTTGTATCCGCGAAATTTAAAAAAAAGAGACACAAAGAAAAATATCTTCTATCGTGTCTTTCTGTACATATATGTATATCAAATATCATATATATATATATATATAAATTATAAATATTATATATCGAATAATATATAATATATAATATAAGAATTATAAATATTATATATATATTAATATATATAATAATATATATTAATAGATATAATAATATAATAATAAGAATATATATAATAAGATATTTTATATTCTTATATATATAAAATAAGATAT